ATGGGCACGGTTATCGCAAAAGGCGCAGTAGCGTTGCTGCCTAGCTTTGTTTGGAGTGGTACCTAGTGACCTGGGTGAGCTCTCTCCACTGTGAAGAACCGCAACAGAGCGTCTGCTTGGTCTGACATCAGGCTTCTCTCTGGTGATCGCTGGAGTGGGCAAGCCGTCATAGTCCTGACACCAGGATTTGTACTTTAACCAGGTAGCCAGGTCATCCAGGGTGTAAGCCTGACCAGAATGGTTGTACATGCACCGACGGAAATCAGCTCTTTGCTCTGAAGGAAGCTTACTAAGGAGTCAAGCCACATGGGAGCCACACTGGAGTTTGACCTCCCCATCAGGGCCTAAAGTCTTCAGCATGCCCACGAGCGACTGGATGTGGAGAGAGAATCGCTCAAATGCGGCTGCATCCCCTCGGCGGATGTCAGGTGAGTCCATGACAGCAGCAATTCTTCTCAGGGCAAGCTGGTGGGGCTGCCCAAGCCTGTCGTTAAGAGCGTTCATAGTGTCACTGAAGGGCGTGGCAGAATGGAGGTAAGCGTCCGCTATCAACTTTGCTTCCTCCAGGTGTAGATGATCTAACAAGACTTGGTACCTGAAAAGCTCTGAACTCTCCGGGGGCAATAAGTTCTCTAGCGCCATCTTTAGACGAGCAAATTCCCCAGGATCACGGCGTGAGAGCTTGGGAATGTTTGGACGAGGCCCCCTGTAGGTCAAGAAAGGAGTAGATGAGGACGGGGATGGAGTTGGCAGTGGTTGCAATGGAGGGGGGTGTGCTCTCGGAGGCGGCGCTTGAGGGTAGGTGATCCTTGGCTGAGGAGAAGTGAACCCTGGCCTAGTCTATGCAGCCATAGACTCCCTCTTCAGATCCTGGAGCTCTTTCAGCATCGTATCGATGCGGTCCGCAACTGGACCCTGGCTGGAGACAGACTCCTCCTTGAACACAACAGGAGGAGGTGGTGGAGGCCAGTCCTCTTCCTCTTCAGCAGGGGGTGGCTGGAGATGAACAGCAGGGGCTCTGGGCGGTGGACTGAGCTGCAGACTCTCTGCACGGTCCAGCAACTGCAGCAAACTAGCATGAAGGGCCTGGAAATTATCCAGCCCGGCTCTCATCTCGTCATGCGACTGCTGGAACAGGAACCTTTCACGCTGTATATCTTCTAACTCTGCTCTCAATGGTGTGACATGGCCGTGTGAGCCGTCATCAGAGGGGTCAGACGGAGGATGGTGGGAAGAATGGTTGTCGCCTCCTGGTAACCTGCACCAAGCCCGGGGAAGTCAGTCTCATAAGCTACATAGCGGAGGGGACGACGTACATTACGCCGTGGGCGCGCACCAAGAGCTGAGAAGTTCTGAATATCATCCATCTTTTTAGGGTAGAAGCAGCTTACATCCGGCTCGAAGGACCATTAATGTTGGGTAGATAGCTTGTACTGGAAGGACTGTAAGGTGCTAGTTCAGGTTTGCAGCTACCACTCCCTGGAGTGTCGACCAGAACACTGCTCAAGGCCCGGATGAATGTTCAGAAGGGAGACAATGAAGACACCGAGGATAGTGCAGACTCTTGTATTGACTTCACACAGTTGAAGGTAACAGGGATTGTCAGAGGAGCAGGTATTGCATACAGGTTTAGGTGCATGGGCATGGGTGTGTGTGTGTGTGTGTGTGGTCTCTGAACGGAACAGAAAGAAAATGCTACATTACTAAAGTGTTCACAACAATATCTCCAGAGTACATCAACATAAACACAGGCGGGAAATAAACTAACATCCCCTTTAATACCATAGGCCATATATTACTCACGACTCACACATAGACCCCCTGAGAGAGCTAACCAGGTACACAGCTATACCCAACCACACGGCAGGAAAGTTAGCTTAGCTTAGCTTAGCACCCGCTAGCGGCACAGACAGAAACATAGTCATTTCCCCCCTAACCTTGGTTACAGTCCCAAACACATCTTATTATCACATCCTCACACATCACCAACTTACGTTGCTCATTAACGCACACTTCTCACGGGATAACCAATTCTCTGCCAGTAATCTGGAGCAGAAAAGCTCAGGTGCTTTGCCCACGTCTCTCCCTGGACATAGTCTCTCATACAAAGCGGTGGGGTGACCTCTACTGGCCACTCTAAAAACTACAGGTGAACTAACAACTGAACAGAATAAACCCATAACTACGGGGCCTTTTGTACACACTCTCATAGAGATTACTGAAGTTTTGCAAATAATTGTTGTCTTACTTAGAAATGCAGACAGATTGCCAACATGCTGCAATCAAACTGAGTCTGTGCTGATGAGCACAACCCAGCAGATCTCTTTGCAACAAGGGGATCAAGTCAAATGGTCACTAGCTGGTTGCATTCCTGTTATTGTTGCCAAGCGTTTAAAGCGTGGAAGTACTGACCTTACTTTGAGTTTGATTCCATAAAAAGTGACAAAAACATTAGCGTCCGTTGTGCGTGGGAAGAAAACTTCTTTTTACAGCGACAAAAACCCCTAAACTTCTGAGCAAGCACCGAGTGCGCAATGAGGTAATGGGAAACTCACAGAGAAAGTCGCGGATTCTTCAACTGACCGCGGCACACCTGCACCAGGGTAAACCTCCGCCTACCGCAGTGCTGCTTAATAGGTGAAAATAGAGCAACAGGACCGCTGAGTCTTTGACTTTATTTATGTTCTGCTGTGTTTTACTTGCATCTATTTGAAAGAGTGAGTGTAAACACAAAAAATATTTTATTTTATGTGCTGGAATGTGCAGAAAATAGGTTTAAATGTTAAACTAATTTATTCAACTCAGAGAATGTTGCATATAATTACATTTTTGCTTGATGCATAAAGTTAAAAGATTAAAACTGATAAAACAAGTTAAAAAAAAGAGATTTTTCCATTTGATTACATTTTATATGATGGATTATGTAGAAAAAGTAGAATTGGGCTGAAAGATCTATCGCCTTATCACCTCTTCAGGTTGTAAATCGTGTTTTTAAAAAGTAACTAAGTAACTAAGTAATTAATTACTTTTGAAAATAAGTAATCAGTAAAGTAACGGGATTACTTTTGGGGGGAAGTAATCAGTAATTAGTTACTGATTACTTTTTTCAAGTAACTTGACCAACACTGAGTACGAGTAATAAATCACACAGCAATAGTACCTTCATGTGGTTGTAAAAAGCATGATAATATATTAAGTGTTCAGAACATGTTACTCTCATTGAGTAACGTAACGGAGTACGTTACAAAATACATTTTGGGGCATGTATTCTGTAATCTGTAGTGGAATACATTTTAAAAGTAACCTTCCCAACACTGGTGAAGTGTGACTGTATCATCAACTAATATGTGTGTACATTATACACGGTGACTCATCCTTTAGAAACATTTAAAATGCAATTTGATTATCGAGGAATGTGATTGACCATTATGTTTAGCTCTTAAATAGATAAATAGATAGAACTTTATTAATCCCTCATTTAGGTTCCTCCAGGAAATTCAGTTAGTTACGTACATAATATCTAAATAGCCCGTGTTTAACCTCACCCACTAGACTGAGCTCAGGTTTGAACTATGTTCTACCTTTGGTAGTCGACGCGTCTTCTTTTTCCTCCTCTCTTTTGAACACTGAATAACTTATTTGCAGACTGCTTTCAGGTAAAGTCTTGATTTTAAAGTCACCACCTTTTGGAAGAGCTGCTTCTCACTTTCTTTCTGAAAAGGTCAGACTAGGGCTGTTCGATATAACGATATATATCTGATGACGATATAAAAAAGTATCGTTTCATTTTACGCTGTCATTTGTTTCGTGGTGCCGCAAAACTGTTTACGGTAATATTTTTTCACCGTTTTGATGGTCACTGTAGTGGCTATATTAATTTCTTAAAGTTCTCTCTTTCTCTTATATTTAATATAACCACCATACGGACGGACAAGCGCCTGTTTTTATGCGTTGTGGTTAGCAACAACGACGGTAACAGCATCGCTTGTTTATGTTCCACATAAACCTTTCACAATAAAGCTCAAGATCCTGTTGAGACTTTTCAAAATAAATGAAATCACGTGAAAGAGCAGATTATTTATGGATGAGAAGTAAAAAAGAGCCACCAGGTGTTAAAAAATAAACCTTAAACTCAAACGTTAGAACAGGCTTTTCCCCGCAGCACGCCGTGTAATAAATACTTACAAAGAAAACGGCGGCCGTTACAACTTATGCCTAAAAATGTATAGTTTCATGCATCAGTTAAAACACTCGACTCCAGCTACATGACACGCAGCTGGAAACACTTCCCACAAGTTGAGCTGCCTGAGATTCACAGAATTTACAGAAAATTTTACATTTTTGTGATTTATATCGTTATCGGGACGATAGAATTCTTATATCGGGATATGAGATTTTGTTCATATCACACAGCCCTAGGTCAGACATTTCCCACACACTTACCTGTAGGATCAGCTGCTGTTTGCTTTAATCCACCTCAGAAATCAACCACTGCTGTCATGTTTCAGGCGGGAAATGACATAAACATGAGCAGCAACAGGAAGTCAGCAGCTTTCAGAGGTGCTCTGGATGTGAGTGAGCGTGTGTCTGAGTTTGAGGAGTTTAGGATGCACGAGTACGCGTGTACACGTGCATCCTATTAAACAACCCCTGCAGAGTTTCTTTGCAGATTTGCTGTTAACATCGAGTGTCACTCATCAAAATGAATTTTAAATATCCTGAAGCTTTTAAATGTTTAAATCCTGCGCTGTTCGCATTCATGTTTCCTTGCTGTAAGGCTTCTCCTTAACTCAATTTGTTGATGGATTACTGCGTTTCTGGGTGATTTGCTATTATCGCTACCAAGATTTTATTTATTTAATGATAATAAAACAGGAAATCTGATTATAGCATATCCAAACATATTTCACTCTTCTGGTCTGCACTTGTAGATGAGTCTTATTGTGGAGACACAGTTGGTGTGTGGATGTCTTTATCCTATTTTCTCTTCCATCCATCAGGTGGACCGGGTGACAGTTACTGCTGAGGGCGGTGTTGGAGGTCGTCCTTCCAACAGGCCCGGGGGCGGAGTCATGCGTATCCACCGACACTTCCCCTTCCCAGCCAATCAGATGTACGTGTTGGCGCTGCACCGCGAGATGAAGCCGATGAGGGTTTACCGGCTAAACGTGAGCTTTGATGCTGCCATCGAGGACGAGCTGCTGGGCTTCTTCAGGAGCTCATACACAATGCAGAGAGAGAGACGGTACACACACACGGAAACACACACTTTTCCTATACCAGCAGGTGGTTCAGCTTGAAAAGGTCAAAGCTTCACATTCACGACATTGATTAACTCACACTCCACATGCCATACGCCTGTGTGTGTTCCACTTGTCTCAAACACACACACTCACACGGGCGTACATATAAAACTCCTTATGAATTTCCCATAAGCCTCTGCTGCAGTTTCCACATCAGATTTCTTCCCCATGGTGCAGATGGGAAACAGACTGTGTGCTGATACATTTATTATTTCATGCACGAATATGTGTGTGTGTGTGTGTGTGTGTGTGTGTGTGTGTGTGTGTGTGTGTGTGTGTATGTATGTGTGTGTGTGTGTGTGTGTGTGTACTGACACAGTGTTTTATCAACGTCTTTTCAACGTATTGTGAAAAACACAAACTTGTGGTTAATTGTTTGGAAAAACGTTGAGCTCAGCTGTGATTGGACAGAGTAAAGACATTACCACATAAGGACTCTGCCTGAGAAGAGCTTTAGCCAGTGATGAGACATAATTAACTCATTCCTCACTTTTATACTACTCAATTCTGATTGGCTCCATGAGCAAGAGAGCTGCCACATAGACCAGTGCAGCATGAATACGATAAAACTGTGTGATAAAGAGAGTCATTATAGGAAATGATGAATTCTCTATTCTGTGTTATATATTTAGACTTGCTAATGGTAACATAATACACAGTGATCAACATTATTTTATGAAGAGGACATAAAGCAAATCTAGAATGATTGCCATGTTCAAGGAGGAATATCTGACAAAGAAGCTAACTGTGATGATTTTGGGGCACTCTGACCTGATTCTGAAGACCTGTCTCAGACATGTGGGTCTATTATAATGAACTGCATTGGCTAAAATTAAGCTGCTTAGAGAGTCTGAATGGCTCAGAGTTCAACGCATGGATTTTCATGCACTTAAATCACTTATTAAGACTCAGTGTAACAAGCATTTAGGCAGGGTCTTCAATCTGACCATTTAAGATGAGCGACGGTGAGAGCAGCGGGTCAGATGAGCCCATCGATGTTAATTTTGAAAATACACCAGCGATGAACTTGTGTGGTCTCAGGTTAGAGTTTTCTTTTCAGCCAATGTCTGAAGGAGGAGCGTCAGCTCTGCTCCACTGACAGAAGTCAGGGGTGACCCATTAAAGGCAGGACACCGGTCTGCATGGCTACAGATTCAAATCTAAGCATACACACAGACCCTTTGAATCCACGCTAGGGTTGGGCGATTGGATGAATATATCGACTACTGACGATAGGCTGAGCCTGATTGTTTTTACAAGGGCGATTTATTTACTTATTTTCCCATGAGTAAGATTGCTAATAACGATGGAGCTAATAGAAGCAGTCAAAAGTCCAAATAATAGTGCTGCTTTAACAACACCCTTTTTCATCTGCGAGCAAATGCACCCTCTTCAGAGTGCGCCCAAATGCTTGATGGAGCTGCAGAAGCTGCTGATAGCCTAGCATACTCAGCTGGATGGTGGACATGTACATGCTCATGCAAGTTAGTCGTGTTTGAGTACTTGCTCGCACTATACATCTGCACAAGCGACAGACCGCTTTGGTTACATCTTTAGGTTTATCTCTTTCATCCAAAATTGGCAGCTTTATATATATTTTTTAGTGCTGTCAGCATTAATGCGCTGTCATCATGACTAACATGATTAACAATTAACCCATCTGGAGTGCAGACCGAGTCTAAATCCCTGAAATGTCCGGTATCTGTATCTGTATAATGCTGACAGCCCTAATTTTTTGGGACATTAGGTCGTCCATGTTTGAAATTCTGTGTAATCAGTCCGTGCATGATTACATTGATCTGCCCATCAAAAAGTCTGCGCATGCAAGAATGTATCGCCCATCGTCGATTATTGGACTGACGATTCTCGGTTGGAAAATTTTTCCATATTGTCCAGCCCTAATCCATGCTTGGTCTGTTTTCTTGTCAATGAAAAACCATTTTTAATAAATCATTCTTTTGTTGCTTTAATTATGAATACAACAAAATCATGATATTTTTGCTATAAAAACATGACCCATTAGTCCCATTTTCTAAAAGATTTTAACGATTTACACTTACCTGTAATTTTAATATGCTACAGGCTGCAGCACCTTTATTCTAAAGCTCAAACATGTGTTTCAACATCATACAGATTTTTCTGGGATCAAAAATTACTCAATAACGGCTCCTTTGAAGTTTGCTGACCTCCACTGTAGCTGGTCATGGAAAATGTCAGGAGTCGTATTCTCCATTTAAGCTTTTATGCAAATAATATCAGTGATTTCAGCTAATTAACTTGATGTTTTTGTACCAGAACCTGCATTTATGTATTCAAGCTCTACAATATTTGAGACAGTTAGCTTATAGCTTTGCCTAATGATGCACATGCAGATATAGAAAATTTAATTCCATTTCAAGTTGCTGTGTTGTATTAACCAACAATAACCAGGTATTTACACCTGGTGATTTCTCCACTTGTCACAGAGGCTTGTGATTTCTGTTTGGATAAAAAGTGTTTCCACTAATGAGCAAAATGCTGCTGAGCATCCGTATAAAACTATCATTAGTAATCATGTTGATTTTTTTTATTATATTTGCTTGTTTGGGATATAAAGGAAATGATGCAGCAAATGTAATATTATATTAATACAACCTTGTGCAATATTTAGAGAGCTGGATCCAGTCTATCATCTGAGACATGAGCTGACAAAATAACAGAAACACTCGTTATGAAGCGTGCTCTGGGCCAAAATTATACTGACTTAAGAAAGCTTAAAATAACTCCATCATTATTTAGAGGAACATGATCAATGAAAATAATTTAAAAAAGTGTTTTGTAAACAAAAAAATAAAAGATGAAATCTCAACATTTAGTTTACCAAGGCTACATGTATGTCTTCTTTAAAGCTTTTAAGCTTTATTAGTGGAACAGCTCAATTATTGTTGACTTGAGATGAATATAAATGAGTACTGAGTGTAAAGAGCAACAGAATCAGAGGTGGAGGACATGTTGGTGGCCTAAATCAAGCAAATCCTACATCTGGATTTGTTCATCCACTAGTACTTTTATTTTTCCTGCTGTGTGGTCAGATTTACAAAAAGGCAGCAGATTAAAATGTTTGGTGGTGAGCAGAAAGCTGCCTGTCTGAAGAAACTGATTATTTTACATGGACGGCCTCATTGGACTGTGAGTGTTGCCTAAATAAGCCCGATGAGTTAAACCAGAGTATCTTCACAAATGAGACGCTGGATTCCAAAACTGTTTGAAGATGCCTGATTGCTCATTGAAAGTCAGTCCAAATTTGTGAAATGAGTTGTAATGACATGCATTACTGCACTCATTGAGGTGCTGTTATTTGATCCATCCAGGCAACTGTGAATGGCCGTCTGTTTTGCAGACAGGAAACTATCCGCTATTGTGACACAACACGAGCTGAGTCTAAGAGTAATGATTCTGACAGATCGATGAGCAGAGCAGGACAGCGGCTGCTGTTCGGTGCTTTAAACACAAAAACACGAAGGTATTTTAAACTCATCCCTCTGACGTGGAATTCAAATGTTCATGACAGTTATGGATTCATGGATTCATGAATCTGTGCAAAGAGATGTATAACATTGATTTTCACATCCAGAAATCTAAATTCGTCTTCACTTCTATGGAAGGAGGACCAGTGGCTCAGGTTTCTGAGTCTTCACTGATATTTTGATTTCCTGCTCTGTCCTTGACCTCCATGGGAATACGTTGGATAAGTGTTACAGTCCATTAACCATATGGACATTTATTGTAACATTAAAAACTAAAAGCTGGCTAATGTCACTTCAAGTGATGGTTATATAAATGAGACAAATCCATAAACACACACATAATTTTATAATTTATTGCTTTCATACATTAGAAAATTTTGCTCATTTCCTAATTTAAGAGCTTTTAGGCATCAAAAACTGCAAAATAACAAAATATCAGTAGAATTTCAAACACACTCACATCAGTTGAAGCTTTGTTTTCTTCATTGACTTCCTCTGCCGTGTTTCGATAGAACAATGGTATAAAACTGCAGTTTTAATTGGTTTTTCATCAAGTTCACAATGAATTGATTAACATGCCAACTTTTTGACATCTGAAGTGACCAGAGGAGTCTCTGAGGGAACTTTTTAGTATTTTTAGCACACGCTGAGCCAAAATCCACCACCAGTCAGACTTGGTCTCAGTGTTTCCACCACCCGTGGTCCACTATTCGCTGGCAGCTGCTGTTTGGATCAATTCTGAATCAATACGGCAGCTGGCATACTAACAGAGCTCGATCACAGCACAGCAACCTGTTAGTTAAAGCTTAATGCTCCAGCTGCCAGAAACCCGGTTACAGTCGACTTTGTGCACTAACCTAATTCCTTAAACGTCACACAAAAGAGAAAGTCTGTGTGAGAGCATGACAATACTAAAGGTAATGCAATAAATATAAAGCCAGGCGTAGATTATTTGTGGGACTGAGACGCATGGTACTATGATATAACTGCCATCCTATAAAGGTGCCAGCGTGAGCTCATTAAATATGTTAATCTGATGACTAACCAGCAAAGCAGTAAGACACATGGTAAAGAAACCACAGCTGGTTATTATTTAAAAACAGTAACTGTGTTCTGAGCAGAGCTTCAGAACGTCAGATAAACACAATACCGGTGTTCAGGGACGGTCCAAGTGATAGTCTGCTCAGAAGTGTGTGTTCATGTGTGCGTGCACAAAGCTCACTGTTATCTTAAGGATTAGCTTGATACAGCAATGCAGCTAATGCTAACACACACACACAAACAGAAACACACACACAAACAGAAACACACACACACTTCACTATGAGATTTGCTTAATATCCAGAGTTACTATAAACCCCAGGCTTGGCTTAAACGCTTAAAATGCTGGGAGTGGGTGAATTAATTAGCGTGCACACACACACACACACACACAC